ACATTAACATTGAACATTCGGCTGGTCAAGAGTTGACTTTAATGTAAAAAAATATTTTTACATTGACACTTTTAAACATAAAATAATCATCAAGATGATTAAAAGTTACAAAGCTATTTCCAAAGTTAGCACTTCTGGTTCAAAATTCTTTTGATTTTGCTCATGAACAAAAGCTATCATAAATACAGGAAAATATCTAATATGTTTAGATGCATTTTCTGAAATCCAAGTAGACTCTACAAATTTAGCACAAATTCATTTATCTATAGAAAATACAGGCAGTGACTTTCTTGAGAATTACTTATCATGCGTACTCTTACCACCTAATCCAGGCCAATTGCAGTCAAAGGTAAGGATACGGGTTTTCCTCAGGTAGAACAGGAGATTTTCTTCAGGATCAGCATTTGTCTCTACTACCTGTATTATGAGATGAGAGATGGGACTTTAGGAGGATTATAACAACACATTATGGCAATTCTATCAGTTCTTTTGGGAACGTGTTTTTGATAGGTGATCGCTTCACAGGGAAAAACAGGCAGCCGATTCTGAAGAAATTACGGAGCGTTCTTTCAATGTTTCTGAATTTTCTAATACATATGGTAATTACAAATCCTGGATTGTTTTCCCTCAGATTTACCTAGGAAGGACTCAGATGGCAAAACAGGCACATAGATTCGAAAGTGAATTCAGATAACTTGTAGATTTCTTAAAACAAAGATTTTGCTTCTCTATCTTTGCTACAAATTCAGTGTGTCATGAGGGAACACCCTTTTTCCCTCCCGATGAACTGGAGGGCAACCTCCTGAATATCCAAAAGTCCACTTACCGTCTCTAGCTGCATGTTTCTAGGCACTGTAAACTTAACCTGCCCCAATAGGACTTATATAAAAAGGGCCCATTCACCAATGACTCTGCCCCACAACTTTGGAAACATCCTTGACTCCTCTCTCTCTTAAGGGAACTTGAATCTCAGCTCTGTTAGTCTATTTGCTCTCCAGATTGCTGGTGCTGACATATCAAAGCTGCATACAAATGAAAGCTATCTGTTCTCATTAACCCTGGAATTACCTAGAGTAATAGGCTGTGTATAGTCAGGCAAAATTAAAGAGGGGACACCGAGAGAAAGTTACCCACAAACATAGCAACTAATCCTAGAAAAAGAGGATGTTGCAACTGAAAGGGATAATAACTGAAATGAGAAACACAATAGAAGGATTTAGCAACAGATTTAGCAGAAAAAAGAACCAGCAAATTAAAGGATAAGATAGCTAAAATTACAGATGCTGAAGAGCAGCCAGAATAGAGATTCAGGAAGGTGGCACAGTTTAATGGAATCATAGGACAGCAACAAGAAACCTTATTACATCATACAAATATATTCATAGGATTTCATAGGAATTCCAGAAGGAGATGAGCTAGAGAAAGGAAAAGAGAGACTATTGAAGAAATAATGACAGAAATTTCCCCTGATCTAACAAAGGGCATAAATGTATGCATTCAAGAAGCTCAAAGAATCTCAAGCAGGATAAATCCAAAGAGATCTACACCAAAAGGCATCATAGTTAGACTCTCAAAAATTAACGAGACAATCCTGAAAGCAGTCACATACACAGGATGCTCGTAAGATTAAGTGATGCTTTCTCCTTAGAGACACTGGAGGCCAGAAGCAATGGAAGAATATGCTGGAAACAACAACAACAATGAAACAAAACTGCCAAGAACACTACACCTGGAGAAACTATGCTTCAAGAATGAAAGTGAAATTAAAGCATTAACAGCAAAATAGAAGTTCAGAGAATTCGTGTATCTCTGAAGCCTACGAAAAATACTCATGGAAGTTCTGTAGATGGGAGAAAAATGACATTGGAAAACAATTCAAAGCTATGCATAAAAAGAAAGATTTCTAATAAAGGGAAGTGCATGGATAAGTATACTGTTGTTATTGTTAATCCGACTCATAGCGACCCTGTATAGGGTTTCTAGGGAGGAGCTGGTGAGATTGAACTGCTGACCTTGCAGTTCAAATCAACATTGCAGTTCAGCACATTAACTAACCCATAGAGCCACAGCAGGACTCCTGGAAAAGTATAAAGGCTAGTAATTTTGTGTTCATGCTCAATAATTCTGAATGTTTTGTCCTTCATGTTTTTTTAATCACAAATATATAAAACATTATGTTACAGAGCACATGAAACATGGAGATGTAATTAGTCATGACAATAAAGGATAAGAGAAGGATGATACAGATACAAAATTTCTTATAGAATTTAAGTTGGTATCAGCTTACCCGATAAGTGTTATAAGTACTTAAATGTAATATACATGGTAAACACTAAGAAAAATACATTTTAAAAGTCCACAGAAAGAAAGGAAAAGGAAATAAAAAGACTTAATGTAACTAACCAACAAAACACAAACGCAAGCAGTGGTACAGGACAAAGATAAAGACAAAGAAGGTTTCACACACACACACACACACACACACACACCCCAAAATGGCAGGCTTAAACCTTTTGTTTTCAGTAATTATAGTGAATATAAATAGATGAAATACACCAATCCAAAGAGCAGAGAGTGTCAGAATGGATACAAAAGCGTGATCTAACTATATGCTGCTTACAAAAGACATGCCTCAAATTCAAGGACATGAGTAGGTTGAAAGTGAAAGGATGGGAAAAAATTCCATGGAAATAATAACCAGAAGAGAGCTGGAGTGGCAATCTTAATACCAGAGCTTGTTAAGGTCTGTGTCAACTTGACTTACCCAGGATTCCCAGTGGTTCAACAGCTGAGATGTAATTATGCCCACAGTGAGCGCTAATATAATGTAATTCACTCTGTGATGGAGTCATGGTGTGACGCTGTGGGATAAAGCACTAGACCTCCAAGGTGCTTTGAACTATAAGATCAGTGATTCAGACCCACCAGTTGCTCCTTGGATACCCTATGTTGTTGTTGTTAAGTGCCATTGAGTCGGTTCCAAGGAACAGCTGGTGAGCTAGAACCACCAACCTTGCGGCTCAAACCGGCTTTGCAGTCTAGTGCATTAACACGCAGTGCCACATCAGAAGTACCTGGAAACCCTATACAAGGTCACTATGAGTCAGAATCGACTTGGCGGCACTTAACAACAACAAACTCTATGATGAGCTCTGCTATGAACAGCCGGACAATTGAAAGGGCAAGTTCCTTGGGGAATGTGGCCCGCTTCCAATATGTTATACACTTAGGCAAAGCTTGTTTGTTTTCTGCTGGGTCTGGATTTTACATAAGCTCATCTTCCGACTTCCGGTTCTTTAGACTTGAGCTACTGACCTGCTCTATCACCTGTCTGCCTATCATCTGCCCTGTCAATATCGGTTCATCTGATCCAGACTTGGGATTCTCTCATCTCTCCAACTTTGGAGATCATTTTCTTGATATAAACTTCTCTTTATATCTCTATATATGGATTCTTGGTGTGGTGCTGTAGGATAAGCACTGGACTGCTAGCTGAAAAGTCGATGGTTTAAACCCACCACCTGCTTCTCAGAAACCCTATACAGGATTGACATGAGTTGAAACCGATTTGACATTACTTAACAAAAGCAACAATATATGTTTCTGAGGAGCAGCTGGTGGATTTGAACTACTGATCTTGTGGTTAACAATCCAGTGCTTAGCTTCCAGCACCACACTAGGAGTCCAATATATAGAGAGAAGCAAAACCAGTGAAATATATATATATATATATTTCACCAGGACTCTCCCTCTCTCTCTCTGAGAGAGAGTTCAGATGTGGTGCTGTGGGTTAATGTACTGGACTGCAAAGTGGTTTGAACTGCAAGGTGGCAATTCAAGCTCACCAGCTGCTCCTTGGAAACCCTATACAGGGTTGCTATGGGTTGGAACCAACTTGATGGCACTTAACAACGACAACAAATATATATCTCGTTTGAAGCGTGGTGTATCCATATGATAAACACTGCACTGCAAACAATAAGGTCAGCAGTTTGAGCCCACCAAGCACTCTGTGGGAGAAAAATGAGGTTTTCTGCTCCTGAAAGATTTGCAGCTTCAGAACCCCAATACACACACACACACACATACACATATATATTTGTTGTTGTTGTAAAGTGCCATTGAGTTGGTTCTAACTCATGGAGATCCTCTATAGAGTTTCTGAGGGGCGACTGGTGAGCTTGAACTGCCAACCTTGCAATTCAACTGACCTTGCAGCCCAGTGCATTTAACCCATAGTGCCACACCAGGACTCTCTCTCTATGTATATATGTACACACAACACACTCACATATATATATTTCACTGACTTTGTTTCTCTAGAGAACCCAGTCTAAAACAATATCAGGTAAAGTGGACTTTAAGACAAAATCTATCAGAAGAGATACAGATAGACATTATATAGTGATAAAGGGGTCAAATAATCAATAGGATTTAACAATAATAACTATACATGGACACCAACATGTATAAAGGAGTCCTGGGCAAGATATGTCCTAGACTACAGGGTTGTTTTGAAACACAGGGCTGGAGTTCAAACCCATCAGTCGCTCCTCAGAAACCTTATACATAGGTGCTATGAGTTGGAACCAATTAGACGGCACTTAAAACAACAAACATATATAAAAATAACACTGATAGAATCAAAGAGTGAAATAGTTAGTACTATAATTATGGTTGGTAAGTCCCAAAGCAAGTCTTTTTTTTAAGTTTTAATTGTGAATTATGTGATAGTTTACATGGGAGAACATTAGATTTACATTCATCCTATCTATTTTGTTTCATTGCAATGATTACAATTCCTTGCATGTATCATCAAATAACCAAAGGGTATACACCATGCAAGCCTGCCTGCTGGCTGGCAACACACAGACCCTCTCCCTCCCAGAGTCCAGAATCCCCAGCCGATCCATCTCCCCACTTCATTATCTATCTGTGCCTCCATCTCTGGCGTCACTGCTTCTCTGGGTAGGGTCCCGCACTCCGCTTTTCTCCCTTGGTGGTTCCAGGGACCTCTGCTCCTGGACTGCAAAGTCAGTCACTCCACTCCTTTTGCTACAAAATGTCTTTCTTTACATTTCCAACCCTCACAGTCAGTCCTGATAACAATTATTCACCTTTGTACCACAGGAGACCTATCCCCATCTCCTTTCATTGGCCCCACCCAGCCAGATTGGATACTACTCAGTGGAGATTTCTACCTTCCTTCGTGCCCTCTGGATCTAGGCTCCCTCTTGAAAACGTGTAAGCCAGTCACTTTTTGCCTTTGTTGTTGTTGTTGTTAAGTGCCGTGGAGTCGGTTCCAACCCATAGCAACCCTGTACAGGGTTTCCGAGGCTGTAAATCTTTACGGGAGTAGAAAGCCTCATCTGTCTCCCTCAGAGCAGCTGGTAGTTTCAAACTGCTGACCTTAAGGTTCGCAGCCCAATTCATAACCACTACACTACCAGAGCTCCTGCCTTTGTAGCCCCCCATTTTGGGTAGCCAATGTCCAAGTTGCCCATTTCTGTCTACTCTGTGTATCGAGAGGGTGGGAATGATCCTCGCTGTATAGATTTGTTCCCTCTTTTGAGCTACTGCATCCATAGGTGTAGGTCAGATCATCCAATTGTATCATATTACTCTTTTTTTTTTTTCCCCCTATTCTTTCTTCTTCTAGTTGATCTCTGATCATCCAGTCATTGAAGCCAGGTCTAGTGGGTATTATCTGCAAGTATGGGTGTTCTTGTGCATCTGCCCTCTCTTCTTATCAGCTGGACGCTTCATTCTCCACTCTAGTCCTCTGTGGTTATGTCACTGACTCTGGGCCCAAGAGTCCCCAGGTCTGCCACAATGCTGGCC